AGGAAGAGGAGAGATTTCGATTCTTGAGGCGTAAGAGCAGGGTATTTGGAGGGGTCATCGAAAAAAGAAACGTGGTCGAGACAGAGATGTATGACCCGGTTAAGGTCTCGTCTCCATTTGTTAAAGTTGGATCCATCGGCGAGAAGAACTTCCACGGCAGATTTGTATTTGGATGGTTTGGAGAGAAATTTTCCTTTAGCGTTGAATTCGGCGGTTGGAGCGGATGCAGACAACATTGGTGTAAAGGGTTTGATGTCTGAAGTGGGGGAAGAAGCAGGTTTTGTTTGAGAGGAAAATTGGGCGGTAACATCGAAGTAGGATGTCAGGGATTTTGAGAATTGGTATGATTTTTTGTTCAAGAAGGGAGAAGGGATAGGTGGAAATTGAACGGCGCTTGGCAGAGTAGGAGGTAACGCCGGCGGAAGCTTTATAGGTCGGAGACAAAAAGAAGAGGAGAAGGCAGGTTTGTCTGACTCTGAGGTGGTGTCGGAAGTGGGGGCTGAACACCCAGGCGATATGGGTGACGGCGGGATTACGGGCGGAGAATCAGGGTCCTCGGAGTTTGGATTGTCGGTTCGGGTGAAGGCGGAAGTGGAGGGAGCGCTACTAGTTCTTTATATTGTTTTGTTTGTTTCGGTCTTTTTGGGTGAGAAGCTGGTGGTAATGGACCAGTTAACACAGGATTGCTGTGACGAGTGTTGACCATGCAAGGTCGTTGGCAAAAACGGCGTAACGATGCGTAGAGAAGTGGTAAAAAACGAGTAATTGACTCTTAATCTGTGATGGCTAGCGCGGAATGATATGGAAGACGGGCAGAATATCATATATTATTGCTATGTCGATGCGGGGGAAGATAACCCCGCAAGACTCCAAACGTGGAGTTTGCACACCCGTACTCTTTGAGCCAATCCGGTGATCTCCTTTGAGCCTCACCGCCCTCTCTATCTCAAACCTTTCTCATCTCCATCTTCCATTATCGTGCTCAGAGACTAAAAATCTAACAGATTCACAGGACTGGTTGAATGCGCAAACCCCAGATTATAAAAGGATACAATTGCCACCCCGGTATAGCTTACACAATTGCCAGGCGCTTCAGTAGTCACTGAGATACGGCACCAACTCAAGCATGTGTGAAACAAAGTGCGCAACATATTGCTAACTGGGCTCATCTCCAATGTCTCGCCCGACTACATTCCAAACATCACGGAACTTGCTCGACTTTTCTGGTGACACTGCAATAACAGCAAGACAGGAAAGACTGATTACCAAGTGGATGCTAAGATAACAGTTATGTTGAAGGTACGTATCGCGCATCTACGGCTGGCGACAGTGGCCAACTTCCTTGACTCCAAATCAAGGCATGTGTCCCAATGGGACCAGATAGATTCGCAATTGGAGCTCTTGAGACAGCAACCAGCAAATTATACCAAACAGTGAGCCGGACCAGCCACTTCCACCCATAATATATGTTTGTGTCATCCATCTGATTTTCCAACATAGCTGGCATCGTCTCGTAAGCAGCAGGGACAAATCCTTATTTAGTAATTCGCCACCCCAAGACAAGTTAGTAAATGGCAACATCTGGTGTCCAACTCACGAGGAAGTCCTTGCAAAAATGGCAGGGCATGTAGATGTGCCGGCCCCTTAGATTATTAGATTACTATCGCTAAAACATGGCCATTGCCATCATATTGATGTGGCCCTTCCCTGTTTGATTACCCTACGACTTGATTGCAAGTGCTCTAGTGAGTAACTTGGCACGTCCACCGCGACGTTTTTGCCCGGCCGGGTCACATTAGCGCCCTGGGGGCGGAGGTCGGACTTGTGCCGCTGTGTATGTGAGAATGTGAAACATTGCTGATCTAGTCCGCACCACAGCCGACTGCAACAGCTCTTCAACATCGACACTGGCCGGGACCGAACCAGCGACACATCCTTCCAACTATGTAGAGCCATCTTCCCCCGGCGAAGTGCTGGCGCTGTTAGGCTAGTGGTAAACCGGGGCCCGCCAGCAGTGCCCGCCACTTGCAGAGCAACACGCCTTCACCTTCCATACGGCGGTTCGTGTTAGGTCTGTACAGGCCATGTCCCGCGTAAGCGGAGAGGCAGGCAAATAGTTGGTCAATTAATTGGGAGTAATGCACAAGGATGTGTGGGTAATGATCAACCTTCACATCCTTGAGTCGGACTCCCCATTAATTGCCCAGGTTGCCTCGTTGATCCGTGATCAACGGACACTCAGCAAGAGGGTGGAGATACTACTCATGGCCTTATCAGGGGTTCAAATCCCCTACAGCACAATTAACTTTTATTTAATACACGGTAATACTTACATCTCAGCTCTAGAAGCGACGCGCCAGCTTTGAAACCTTTTCACAATGAGAGAGATGCCGGCAGATACCATCCATCACATCAATTAGACGAAAGAACTAGTCCCCTGATGCCAGTCAGGCGGCAAGAGAGTTCGGGAAGAAAAGTTGTCCACGCAGGGGATACAATCTGAATCACCCTCGACGTGAGCTCTCATCGCAAGGTCGATCGAACCACCGACATGAAACTGGAGCGATGAAGTCAATACAGAACTGTAACAACATGCGCCAATTCAGGCTAGCGGTATACCCGGGGCTTGACAATGGCTTCCAGCTTTGCGGATTGATCTGACATCGCTTGTCCAAGGGTCTTCGCGTGTTGAACTGGTATTTGTCGCAGGTCGCTTGCCAGCATCAAAAGCTCTTCTGCGCGCCAGGCGATGTACGATGATTGCCTTGTCAATAGAAGGCTGTGTGAGGATGCGACCGCCATCCTCAACACTTCCTTCTCATCCAAGGCCCGTTGAAAAAAACCGAATCGCAAGCAATCAATGGATTTCGTGTGGTATTGCATCAAAGCTTGTGGTCAATTGATTTTAAGGGATAGGTCATTCAGTAGATGTCGTTCATGCTGCGTTTTGAGGGATACATAGGTCATTGAGTAGAGGCCCGCTGTCTGCTGTGTCGTTGAGCTCGCGCGATCCGAAGTGGAATCGAACGGCGGCTATCAGCTATCTGTTGGCTATAAGTTCAGCATTGCAGCGCTTTGTTCACAAGTGCTGTTAGGCTAGTTGGAAAACCGGGGTCTAGCCTGGCTGGTCCGGGCCGGGGTGCAGGATGATGATGGGTTAACCCCTCGTCACGGGCTTGCGCAGGCCATGCCACAAGGCAGTATGAAGTTCCGCCGGTTTGAGTTGCGTGCAGTCGTCCACTACAGAGCGTCAGGGCATAGCCCTGCGATGGGACGTACGTTGCGCAGCTCTCTCAGGAAAGGGTTTACGATCAACTGGCAGCACCAAGGTCATGGACTGGGCAAGTGACTCAATCAGGGGTTCAAGTCCCCTACGGCACTTTCTTTTTCGCCTTATCTGAAAACTGCATTTTTTCACTCTGAGGGTAGCAAGTTTTCAAATAACTGAGGATCTTTGATGCCAAATGTCTGAAAATATTGGTTTGTTGCTTGCAATGAGCTTGTGAGAACAGTGATCTACCAAATTCTTCATTTGAAAGTGTGATGTGACACTAGGAAAAACAAGAAATTCCAAGAATGGCCAACCTAGGATATGGCTCAGGACAACAGGATATATATAAGGTCTTTGGGACTTCTCTTATGGTTTCTATGTTGTGTGTATCTTTTTAAGTCTTGTGAATTATGATAAAAGCAGAAGCAAGTCTCCTCAGTTGTACCATTCGCTTGATCACAATACTTTGGTTCTTTTTTTCAATATCATTCTTGCAATCTAGAGCAGCAGCTGCCTGGCTTTCATTCCCAGTGTGCTCCAATAAATGACCTTGATGTGATTGGAAGACTTCCCTTCACCCAGAAAGCTTAATTTAGATCTAACAGGCTAATTCTAAATTCCAAACTGTGTTTGGTGATGAAAAATGATGACAGATGAGTACTCATCACCAAACAAAGTTTGGAATTTAGAATTAGGCTGCCTGAATTAAGTAATTTTGACCAATGGGAAGTCTACCAGTAGCTTGTCTGTTGACACTTGCAAAACAATCTGTTATGGACTTTCCTGTCATTCTAGCCTAATTCTAATCCTTGAAAAATTATATCATTGATGTACTCCCAATGAGGGTTTTTAAGCCAAGCCTTAACTCTTCACATAGCTGCTTTTCTGCAGTGAAGCAAGCATGAAGTTATGCATATTTTGTGCTACAAATTTAGCATAAAATGCTACAGTCACTTGGAAAGCTTGAGAAACCTGTCATTGTTGCAGCATAAAACTAGGAAGTGCTTGATACACATTGCTAACACATCCATGTGAGACTTCATAACATCATTGGAGGCAAAACATCACACACAAGCTTTACATAACTAGTGTACTTGAAAAATTAGCAATGTGTACTTAACCCCATGGTTAGAGTATCAATCATGAATGCTGAGTTTTTGTGTTCAATTTCCACAGTGCACAAACTTCCATTGTGGTATGCATATTGGTGGCAAAAGTTTAAAAAAAAATATTTTGAGAATATTTTTCTCTTATTTTATACATGTATTACAAGGTTTCACACATATTTCACTTGTTTTTTTACTCATAACTAGCATGTACATACACAAATATGCTGGTATGCAACCTCTCATGTTCTTTATTTCTATTTTCATATATGTTGTACAAGTGGTGAGGCACATGGTGGAGGATCCTCACTAAATATTGAGGATGCCATGTGAGGAATACAGTGGGTAGGCAAAAGCTCCATCTGATAAGTACCTTGCATTGCAGAAGTGGAGGTGATAGCATGGCAGTTATATTTAGGTGGTAGATTATCTAGTTAAAAAAAATGAATTGATTGATAGGATGTCTAATAAAGTATAATAAAGAATTGATATTTGAGTGAGTGAGTATATGAGTGGATATATGAAAGTGAGTGTATAAAACATTGAGGGAGAAAAGAAGGGAAGTATTTATAGGGTGATTGATTCTGAGAAAATATCAGCTGCTGACACTGAAAAACTTGCTCAACTGCCTGCAGTTGACATGCAGCATGCTCCAGCCAAGCTGTCATCCCAACTCTGTTTGGATATGTAGATTTTTTAGCACAGTCACTGTGCATCAAAGCGGTTGAATCAATATTGGAGAAATGTTGGAGTAACAATAGA